ATTCTTTGTTTTATGAGCTTTAGAAACACGGTATCATCATCATCTGCGAAAATCAAGAGCCACGTTATTGAATTGAATATTGAATTGAAAATTTGGCTTTCGGCGGGTTTCTGAAAAACTTTGATTCTTTGATTAATTGGATTAAGTACGGTTCATTGATTTGCATATGTTCGTTTATATCCTCCTCGGAGACCACGTACGATGGTGTGAAGTGCCCGTGTTGTATATATATATATATATATAGATGGACATATGGTTCTATTTCGCAACTTGCTCAGCGTCATCGAACACACCTAAATCAACTCTTTTTAGAAGGATATAATGAAGGGGCAGTATATTACGGCGTTCAATAAAAACGCTCAATTTGTTCGCGTTTCTAAGTTTCGCCTTCTTATCGGAGCGCATCTTTGCGCCCGCGGTCCTGCACCCCGGTGGTCGCGGCGCGACCACCGCGGCTTCGCGCCGCGACCACCGGGGTGCAGGACCGCGGGCGCAAAGATGAGCCCCTCGCCTCGCTCGTAGCGTGGAGGGATGTTGGGTGCACGTGTGTTGCGCGTCTCAGCCACGGGGGAGCAGGACCGCGGACGCAGAGATGCGCTCCGATAAGAAAGCGAAACCTAGAAACGCGTCCAAATTGTGCGTTTTTACGGAACGCCATAATATACTGCCCCTGCGTTATATCCTTCTAAAAGGTGTTGATTTAGTGGTTTTCGATGACGCTGAGCAAGTTTCCAATTGAAACCATATGTCTATTTTATTTATTTAGAAAGTTAATTGACGAATTTTAATTAATTACCCGACTGATCGCTACAATTAGCCCCCCTATACTATGTCCACCTGGCCGTATACTCAACTGCACAAACCACATTATTATAACTTTCACGGCGTTTTTTTTAAACAAATCTGTTAATTAAAAAAAAACACCCTGTATTTATACGTTTCAGGTAAAAACGTCAAATAAATCCTCCTGTCTGGTTTTCCACCGTTACTCCACACCCCCTTTTCTACACCTTCGGCCTCCAAGCCAACATGCCCATGTGAGTAATTTCATCTCAAATCGTGCAAAAACAAAATGGTGGGTCCTTTAAAAAATTCGAAAAAAAAATATATATAAAGCTAGTGACAACACACACAGAGAAGCGTAGACTGAAATCGCAATATGTTATCACGCATCATTTCCACTCGAATAATTGAGTTGAAGGTAGCATACACATTGAAACACTAAAAGGCCGTGAACTTGCGCCACTTTGTTTGACCCCATTGGGGTCAATCAAAGTGGCGCAACCCTGAAAGTTACCTCCTGAGCCGGTTTTATGAAAAACGTGAAAATTGAAGTTAAAAAATGTATTTTTATCTTCTAATTTTAGATAAATGAGATTTATCCGACTGAAATCAGATATATGTGATTTAAATAATTTCATCAAGAAAAGAGTGACTTCTTGTGAGTAGATATATATATATTTTTAATTGGCTGCCTGATATAACTCTTTCTTGTTTGATCCTTCCTTTCTTTAAATGCAAAATAAATGCCCACGGAGAGCAAAAAATCACAGACAAACGGTAAATGGAAAACATTTCAGGAATTGTTTTTGGGGAAAAGTGTTTGATTCAAATCACCATAGTAAAATCGGTGCGATTTGCATCACGATTTAAATTCATCTTGATTTTTCTTCTCCACCCTGGTGAAAAAGCGAAAAACCCCGCACCGACTTGAATATGGTGATTTCCTTAAACTTTCCTTAAATAAAAAAGAAATTAATAAAAAAAGAAAAAAGAAAACCCAAGCTTTTCAGGAAGTCATGTTTATCTACAGCCGTGGTCTCAAACTCATTTAAGTGTGGGGGCCAGATAGCCCAGTTGGAAAGGTCGAGGGCCAATGTAAGTTGAGGGGCTATAAGGGGTGGGGGGGGAGGGGAGGGATTCAGAAGATTTTATTAAACAGAAGAGACCTTGTTCTTTATGCTTTTTTTTAAATTCAGAGTTTTTCAAGTGACATCTTCAGGTTCTATTTGTTTACATGACTACTTTGGTCCCTGACCTGATATTTTAACAATAATTAAAATGTCACCGCCCCGCCAACGTGCTGGCATTTTAATAGAACAAGAGAGCAAGCACACGGTCGTTCCCGTGACTCAGTTCACTCAGGAATTATTTTAGCTCAACATGTCCCTAAAGACAATCCATTAATTTGACAGTTCTTGCTTGCTTGACGATTTTTTTTATTACAGCACTCTTAACAAATACCTATCTTTTAACGAGGATATTTTTTTAAAGGTGAGAATCCCGAGCTCGTAGCTTTATCTTTCGCAGTTGTTCCTGCTGATTGAGAGTTTGCTCAGCCGAGGTGCGTCCTTCAACGAAGAGCTCGCGCTTGCAGCCTTGTAGTGGAATCGTTTTACATTACGAAAATCCGGGAAGCAAAAAATAAAGCGAGACAAAGGGCATATGAACGCAGATGAGTATAAACTATGTGAATACGCGTTAATAGAGCAGAGCTACTTTTCGAGGGAAGATGATTCGACGAGATGAGATCACTATGGTGCATGCAATTTCTAGCGCTCGTGACATGGGAACCGGGACTCGCAGCTGGTCGCGTGCGGGCCTCGTACCAACGAGTTGCGGGCCGCATGCGGCCCGCAGGCTGCGTGTTCGAGACCCCTGATGTAGATTTATTTTCTGTTAACCCGGAACACCCCTCCCATTGAACGTTTCATAAAGCTGTTGCGCTCTTCTCGAACCACTCCCCATTGTCTCGTTGCTCCTTTTATTGGTACCAAGAGGTTTTCCAAATATTTGGGGTATGTGCATGATCTCTGGGTGTTGTCGAATCCCACGATCATGTCTAGTTTTCTTCAACATAGGCTCTGATAAACGCCGATTTTTTGTTTTTCCAACACAAAAAATGGACATACGCACAAACAAAACATTCTGAGAAAATAGACGTCAGTAGCTCTCCGACTTAAAAATACTGGGTGATTCAAGGAGGGGCCAGGCTCCTTATATCGACCGCAAAATTCGGTTTCTTAACCTATCACGCTACGACTTTATGCAGCGTTGCCCACACATGGTGCATTTTTTTGTGTAAAATTTGCAAAGAGCGAACTTACCAGAGGAAAAAGTAAAGCAAGAAAAAGGCTTGGCTCCTATTGAAACGCAGCGACGCCATCGGTCTTCAAACAACACGGCGCCGTTTCGCACGGGAGACAAGACCGGTGGCTTCGCTGAGTTTCCATAGGAGCTAAGCCTTTTTCCTTCTTTACTTTTTCCTCAGGTAAGTTCACTCTTTGCAAATTTTACAAAAAAAAAAAAAAAAAAACAAAAAAAAAAACACCACCTGTGGGCAACGCTGCACAAAGTCGTAGCGCGATAGGTTAAGAAACCGAATTTTGCAGTCGATTTAAAGAGCATGGCCTCTCCTTGAATCACCTTGAATCACATCCCCGAAGAAGCTGAAACCAAAAAATGTGTTAATTTGTTCATGTTATAACAGTTACAGTACCTCGACACAGAAGGCCCAGGAGGAGAGGAGTAAACAGATGAATACATTCAAACAGTGTGAATTATATTACGTCGACTAAGTGGTGGCATTTCGTCAGATGAATTGGTTTGAGTAATGGTGGATCATGGAAGGTAGGTTGTTTTAATCCCACATAGTTGGAGGAAGTATTTTCGTTGTTCTTGAGTGTAAGGCTCTATTGTTTGTTTGAGTAAGCAGGTCGCCTGCGGCACTGAATATAGCTAGTTAATATTTTCGCTGGATCTTCTACCCTCCGTTGCATTACCTGCTACCGTTAGGCGCACAGCCTGTACTTATGCTCTACGAACTATCATGCCAGCTGCCATCTTTCTTGTGAAAGAAAATAAACTATTGATTGATTGATTGATCCTCAGGAAAGGGGGGGGGGGAGGGGGGGGGGCGGGCGCTGCCTTTTTTTGCAACGACCGCTGTTGCTCTAAACCACCAACTATTTGGGTAATGTGCATGATCTCTGGGAGTTGTCGAATCCTACGATCGTCACCAGTTGTCTTCTACGTAAGCCCTGATAAACGCCGATTTTTTTTTTTTTTTTCAACACAAAAATGGACACGAAACGCATGTGCATTTCTGAGAGGAACGCGACCAGCCATGAGCAAAATACTGGGTTGTGCGCCACTCGAAAATGCCTACACGAATATGAGATTAGAAAGTTACGCTGATGAGGAGTATACGTATATTTGAAAGGTTCTTCACTTCTACGCCGAACCAATCGCGTTTGCAGTCGAAGTGCAGCATCTCTATTTGTAGGGCGTTTGACTTGTCCGTTCCTGAAGGTTTTCGCTTGATGAAGGGGAGTCAAACATGCAGGGAAGGCGCCGATGGTTTAAGTGACCGAGGAACACGAGCGACCAATATTCCCCACCGGCCGCTCTTACTTCACCCTTTTCTATAACGAATGACAGTGCCCGAAATGTGTATCGGGCGCGATATGTAATTTGCATGTAAACACCGGGAGCGACGTCAGTGTCTAACATGCTCAGTGTATAACTACAAACCAGAAATTTAAACTTGGGTGGTACGTGTGCTTCGTAAATGGATTATTTGCGGAATTCAATTAGCGCAATACTGCCAAACACTTCGTTGCACCACGTCGCCATCGACAGCGCCACGGTGTTGTGTGTGCTTAAATGGTCGCTTGTCTCAGCACTTGTGCCTTTACTATTTTTCTAGAAAATGTCAAGTAATTGCCCGGAGCCAGCAGTGCCCAAACAGACACCGACCGTTGGGAGGGTCGACTCGGATCTCTTCTTGTTTTCGAGAGAAGCAGAGGGCCGCATGAGCGACTGTCGACGGCTGCTCGGAGCACTGCAAGATGAGTGGCGGCATCCGCCTAAGAGCGCGGAAAAGGAGCTCCGCTGCCTGCTCTGGAGCGGGCGCTTCTCAGCGACGCTTCGCTGCAGCCAGCCGCGGCGGCTCAGCCACTGTGCCGCGCTGCCGCGCCGTGAAGCGCGCTTCCTGGCGCGAAGCTTCGGCGTCCGCGGAGGGCGCCAGCGGCGGGCCCCCTGGCGGGAGCGGGGGAGCCCGGCCAGCAGCTCCGTCGGCGGAGCATGCCATCCATGGGGCGCGCAGGGCGCGTTCGGCAGGGAGCTCGCGGAAGACTGCGAAGCCGTCCCGGTTAGCGTCTAATGTGTCCTTCGAACGACCCCGAACCAGTGGGAGCACGACGACGACGGGAGATGTCGTCGCTGGCGACGGCCGTGCCCTGCTAGATAGCGAAGAGGATGAGCGGCGGCCGCTTCGATTTCGACGATGGCGGCACATACTGCGGCGGCTGGGAGGACGGCAAGGCGCACGGCCACGGCGTGTGTACGGGGCCCAAGGGCCAGGGCGAGTACTGCGGCTCGTGGCACTACGGCTTCGAGGTGTCCGGCGTCTACACGTGGCCCTCGGGTAGCGGCTACGAGGGCCAGTGGCAGAACGGCAAGCGCCACGGCCTGGGCGTCGAGACCAGGGGCCGCTGGCGCTACCGCGGCGAGTGGACGCAGGGCTTCAAGGGTCGCTACGGCGTGCGCCAGTCGCTCAGCTCGGGCGCCAAGTACGAGGGCACCTGGGCCAACGGCCTGCAGGACGGCTACGGCTCCGAGACGTACGCCGACGGAGGTCAGTGGGAACCCGATCTGGGCTCGCGCCAGGGGCCGAAGAGGGGGGCGAGCCCGGCTGCCGGTGGCGGCCCGGCCCGCGCCTCTGCTCGCGCCCCGACCCCTGCAAATGGGCGCTGGCCCGCTCCTTTGCAGCGGTCCCCGCCCGGCGCCCCTCGCGCTGCCCCTTCGGGACAACCCGAGTCGGGCCACACTGGGCCGACCTTGGGCCCTTTGTTGCTCCGCTTGCCGCGAAACTATTTTCGACTGCGCGCTAACCTTTCCCCGCCAGCGGTTGACCGCAGCATGCCGTGCTCGGGACGCCTGGTCGCGGACCCGTACGCTCGGGCGTCGCGTGTCCGTTGCCATGACGACGCGGACGCCGCTCTCTGCCCGCGCTCGGGAACCCAGGCTTCCCCTGGCTCGGGGACCGGCGGTCCTGCCGGCTCGAACACGAGGCCCGACAAGGACACCGCGATTACGCACCTCCAGGTGTCACACGTGACAAAGGAGAGCCGCTGGATGTCATTCTGTACTTTCGTCATATCGAAAGGGCTGCAAATACGCTACGCCATGCAAGGATGTCACCGCTGCCTATTACAGTGCTTGGTGCCGTTTTGCGGTTTTCCCGTGGAGGATGCCGGTTTCTTTGCTATCACGGGAATTGACTATAGGTTGAAAGAGAGACTGCAAAAGAATTGGGCAAATTGAGTGTTCTCACCAGCTCACAAGCAGACAAAGCGAGGAGATGGGGGAGCGCCACGGTGGCACGGTACATAAAATAACACGACAAAATCCGTGTAGGTAAAGTTATGATCGCCTTACCCGCGCTGAGGTTCTATGCGTTCCGTATGATCTCCACTGCGAACGACAGGCAGGATTAACATTCCCATTGGTCTGGGGGACGAATTCCCCCTAAACGCGTTGACACGATTTGTGTCCCTTTTTGGTTATCCCAGTTTTAGAGCAAGAATGGGTCTAACCGGCAAAACGCGATTTTTCGACATATTTACTCTCGGAGAGCATTTCTCCCTCACTCACATATACTCCCATTTGAGAAGTCTTAACTTGTACCTAGTGTCTACTATAGGTTAACGACATGGATGGTACTAACTAACGCGTCCAGCGCCGTGTCTATATCTGCGGATCATTGAGTTTGCGCGGAATTGACGCTTCGATTCCTTTTGATTCGTTTGTCGCTTACATTTCCCAGGTGAGTAGTGAAAGCATTGAGAGTGAAACAGTACCTTTCTTCAGTTTTTATTTTATTTTATTTGTGTTTCACTTTGTTAGTGTCGACTGATGCATAGGAACAGATAAAAATAGGTAGAAAAGCCTGTGGAGTAGAGCAGTACAGTCCTTTGACCCATTTCCTTTATCCGAAGTTGTGAGCCTCTCTTCTGCATCTAATTTTTGTCGCTGTCGATTTAAACGGGTGTAGCAAGCATACCTACGTGCTGTCGCCGGGCAGTTCGTACTGGTTAACATTGACTCAACGTCGCTCGGCATCGCTCGGTCAGCAAACCGCTGGAACACGACCTAGTCGGTCGAAAGAACGTTGAAGCGGGAATTTGAAAACGAACCGCAGGGCGCCTCTTTAAAATGCCGGGCCTCTAGCACATGCTCGTTGCCTTCCGTCGTGCTGTCGCGGCGCGTGCACACTCGAGGTTCACAAGACGCTAAAGCGTTATCGAAGGTAGGAAGGTCATGCTGGAGGCCGGGCGACTGTCAGACCTCCTGTAGTACAAAGAGAGCCTCCGGACTGAGAAAAGAAGGCGTTGGCCTATTTTTAGAAAGCCTGCCAAGTCGGGGCGTTTCATTGTAGGCACCCTGCAAAACGTGTGGCAACTTTTACTTCGAATGATTTGTGCAAAAAAGCGAAGCAGTTTGAGATTCCCTCCATACACCTTGAAGTAACAAACAAAATTGATGACGCTCACACACACACACACACACACACACACACACACACACACACACACACACACACACACACACACACACACACACAAACACACACACAAACACACACACACACACAAAAAAAAGGTCTCTAAACTTTGAACAGATCAAGAAAATGAAAGCGCACGTTCTTTCCTTTCACACTCTCCGTCGCGTTGTGCAATGTGACGAGCGCGTGGATTCCGCGCCAGACTGGAACATACAAGCAAAATGGGTGCTGTCGGGCACGTCTTTGCTCGTCTGTTTGTTCCACTTCCACCAGGGTCGATCGTGCTGTTCTCCTTCTGCGTCTCGAATGCTCGCCAACGCAGTCTCTAAGGGCACTCAGCCGAAGCAAAGCAAAAGTGCGACATGCTGAGGGTGTCGCAAGCTTTTGACTAGCGAGGGATGCACCAAATCTTTCGCTGCAGAGCCGGAAAGTGAGCTTTAGCAAAATAATTTAGTAATGAGCGCGAGACAATTGACCTTAGGTGACGTATTTTGTTTCCCCGTTTGTTCCATCCCGTTCTCATTAATTAGTCGTCCCGCTTCAGGTGAGGATTAAAGAATCACGGGGTCATTCACCCCTGGAGGGCAAACTGATGCGCGTGTCCGTGCGCGTGTGTTTATGTGGTTAGGTTGGGGTTAGGTTAGGTTAGGTTACGACAGTGTTGTTCCCGTTACCGAAAATGAATAATGAAATAGCGTTTCTCGTTAGCTTGAAAAAAATATAACGCGTTACAGAGCTCCGTTCCCATTTTGCAGATGTAACGAAATACCGGTCTTGTTACTTGCCATGACTAACGGACGTTACTTTTACGTTAGTTCGTCGTTACTTTGTATTTCACTGTTAGTATATGACAGCTGTTTATAATAAACCGCTTCTATGAATTTCGGCAAGAATACACTTGTTCAGAGTGATTATTTATTTATTTGTACTCTGCAGCGCTGGAGCATTACAGCAGAAGAGTGGGGTACGGATCATATTTATACTTTGGAAATTCACACAAGCAGCACAAGCCAGCAACCAACAATATGAATAAACCATTAAAAAAACACACAATAATAACATTTCAATAGCGGCAAAATACTAAGAAAGAAATTCACATTGCATTGATCAGGTTAATAAACGATTCACTGTCGGCAGGATGTGTAATGTATATCTTCGAACACGTGACGCTTTGTGAGCGCGATTCGGAGAACTGAACCTTGCCCGTAGCACCTGCCTGGGAAGAAGAAACTGCTCTGAAAGGAACGACCGGATGCACGCCACATAACGGACGCAAAATAAATCTCTTCATGTAATCAAGGTTAATCCGGTAAATTAAACGTTATTTTATTCCTTCACAAACAAAACGTCGCATTTCCAATTAACTACACGTCAGCACCCGGCCACCGCTGACGCACTTGTTTTGGTTCAAAGCGTGGGAACGTCAACGCTACCAGACTTAGAGTCTATCCTTTCTGCTGGTGACAGAACGAAAATTCATTTGTTTTGAAGAGACGGATGTGACCAGCTGGAGTAGCTGGTCACATCCTTCGTGTCATTATTTTTCCGTGTTCAGCTTACCCGATTGCCAACAGTACGTGCCAACTAGCCCAACTAAAACCGTGGCTAGGGACGCTGAGGCGAAATCCTTCGAGCGGTGGCAGCCTGTTGCCTTCTGGACGGATGTCTCTTTCCAGCGAGACAGCTGCTCAGGGACCGGTACGGCGACGGTGATCTTAGCAGCTTCTATACAAAGATTACACTAAGGACGGTTAGGGGTTCCGCGCAGCGATAATCTCGCGCCTTTTGGGCCCGGTCGTGAAAACTTTAAAAGTGTCTTCCCAAAGAGTTTGAAATGACGCCGCTTATACATAGCTTTGTCAGGGTTTCTTTGCCACTTTGACGTAGTGTACATAATAAAAAAATTTTTTCATACAATCAGGCGGCCATTTTTAATCAAAAGTAACGGGTAACGTAATTTGATAGGAGATTCCGTAAAATAATAACGATATTATTTCACTCGTTAGTCATTTGGCATTCTAACGAGTACGTTAGTACGTTAGCAAAAAAAAACTAGCTTTACCAGTAAAGTCGTTACTTATTACGCGTTAGTTCCAACACTGGGTTAGGGTCACGGTCACTTTTTAGTGCTTCGAAACTCTCCCAGATATTCTCTCGGACGAGTCCGTAGGCGTTCGTGTTATATCATACCTCCTGGTGGGAAATTAAACGAGTCGCCCACAATATACTACCAGGTCACTTTAGTACGACAATCAGTACTATCGAGCTTAAGCAACCCGGATATATTGTAGTGTACAACGCGTTCCGAACAGTAAATACAAATCTGGCTCGTCATTGTCAGCTGCACCTAGCCCGGCAGAGCCTTAGAGTGAAGTACCGTTGTTTCTTCGGACATGAGTCGTTCGATTTGTTTTCTTCTTTCCCCTCGGTGATGTGTTTGTATGCAACATCGAGAAAGGTAGGCACGGTTATTTGTTTAATGCACCGATTTTATGGTTAGACGCAGTACATAGCCCTCTAAGTGAACTGCGACGTCAAAATAAACAGCTAAAAAAAAAACAGAAAAAAAAGAAAAAGAAAACAAGATGTGCCTTGTTATTTTATGTGTAATCATTTCGCAAGTTTTTACAGCATGAGATGAATCCTAACCACGGTGGGAAAATAACATAAATTTAAAGATGAGTGCTTTCTTCATTCCTTGTTTTGTTTGTGCCCAGATTTGACTCCTGAGCTTCGCTGTTATCACCGGCATAATTTCTTTAACGAGAAGTCCGCTCTCGACGCGTGGCTCAGCGCCATCGGGCCCATCAGACTCCACTCCCGTTCAACGCGATATGCATTTAATAAAAAAATAAATAAATAATTTTAAACAATTCCAGGATGCACAACCCGAAACCACATGTGGTTTGCTACATGAGCAGCTTTCGAGCGACGCAACAGCCAGCATGCTTCAAACGCCTTACTGATATCTGGTCTGCATTCTGAACAAGTCCCGCCTCCCGCGCATTTATTCTAATTAGGGTTGAGCAATTGATCGATTAACCTACCGATTAATCGATTATGCTTTAATC